AAAATAGGACAAGAACAAAAACTGTTTTTTAAAAAATCTATTATTTAATTGAATATATATAACAAAACATCAGCACATTATAAAAAGGCATTTTATAAAGATTGCATTATGTATTAAGGCAATCTATTCTTGTACATTTACTTAGAAAACAACATACTGTGATTTAAAATGAAAAAATTGCAATAATTACAAAATTCTACAGTTTTATAATAACATAAATGCTTTCCCTGATCTAACCAACTTAAGTAAATTAAAATTACAGTCACTTTACATCAGCCATTCTTATGTATAGCCCTATTAAAGTCAAAGATTTTATAATGGCGTTCTTATTAAGATTAAATGACTGAATTATTTTTAGTCTTTTATGCCATGAGCAACTACATTGCTGTTGATTTAGATGTTTGAACTGGCTGTAGCTTTTCAAACAATAACCACGTGGAAGGCAGCAAAATAATTTGTTTCTTTTTATTGGCATATATATGCATTTCATGAATTAAATGAGAGGATATTTTGATTCTTTTTCCTTTTGTACCATCATCTTTTTGGTTTTTGCTCTATGACCCTTGCTTTCAAATATCTGTTACACAACACAAAATATTTTTCTTTCAATATATAAACAATGTCATAAAAATTCAGAATTATTTCTTTCTGGGAACACCACCTTAGAAACACAGAAGCCTTTCACTTCTTAAGTCCTGAGTCATAAATGAAGAAACCGCAGTTTTTACAGAGGATTCATCAGTAGAAAAGATACTGAAAATAATTTGGATATATGCTATTACACATGTAAATCCCTTGTAAGAAAAAGGTGAGAGAAAAAATTCCATTTATATATGTAAAGCAGTAGACAGCAGTATCTCATTGCTAAGTTGGAAGGGTATTGGAAAGAATTAGACCACCCCACTTTGGAATGACTTTCTCTGAGAGTTTCTGAAGTTCAGTAGCACTCCCCCTCTCGTCCCTCCACTTTCCTTCTGAATCTCCCAGGGAAAATGTAGTACAGCACCATTTTAAGGACAGAAATTCTTTTCTCACTTCCTGACCAGACTATTCCAGTTTCACCTTAAAATAAATCACAGAAGTATTTAAAGTATGGGGATACACAATGACTAATGAACCATGGAGTAGTTTCTACTATTAATCATAAAAGGCACATAATTTAAAGCATAATAAATCATTCATCAGGTCATATACACACCAAAAAAAGCTCATTATATAATGTTCTTTCTATAAACTATTGAAATCGGTATAATTTTAGGTCACCCAAATTCAAATTTTAATGCACTGGGTGTTGGAAAAGTAGTATATTACAATTTTTTTTGAAGTGTGAAATTAGTCATTATGAAGGTTTCTTCCTTTTTTGAAGGATGGAGGATTTCACATAGTGTCATACAGTCTCTGATTCTGGCTAGGTAATCCTGCAGATTGTCAAAGTTACATGTATTTGTAAATATCTATATGCTCTGTCCTGTTTAGATAGCATGGAAAAAGAAACAGATTTTTCAGGTGTATTTTCATCTACTTGTTTTGTATCACTACATAATTATTAATTTGAGAACTAAAACCCTTATATATGTGTGAATGGTAGTGAAGTCTTAGAATCAAAAGGTTTGTGGCTGTTCAGTCACATCTGACTCTTTGTGACCCCATTTGGGATTTTCTTGGCAAAGATGCTGGAGTGGTTTGCCATTTCCTTTTCCAGCTCATTTTATGAATGAGGAAACTGAGGCAAACAGGGTTAAGTGACTTGCCCAGGATAACACAACTAGTAAGTGTCTGAGGCCAGATTTAATCTCAGGGCTTCCTGACTCCAAGCCCAGCACTCTATCCACTGTACCACCTAGCTGCCCTTGATGAATCAGTAGGACCCAGGTTCAAGTCCTGCCTCTAATAAATACTAGCTGCATGGTCATGGATAAGTCATTGAATCTCTTAGCATTCTGGATATCCCCCAAAGATCATAAATTATGGAGAAGATGCCAGATAACCCCTGATGAAGGGCTTTACTGCACTAGGAATTCCCTACACTAATGAAATCAAAATGTTGTGGACAGACATTTTATATATGTATCTGGGTGTAGAGTATGTGTGTGATTAAGAATATTATCTATTAAAATCCCCAATTGGGAATTAAAATCCCCCAAAAGAAGTTTTTCTTACTTCCAGAAATCAATGCCTCTTAAATGTCATGAACTGACTTGTAGGCTATGAAATGCCTATTTTCTGACTTCAGCTGCCAAAGATACAATTAACAGATATTACCGTGAATCCCAAGCTACCTGGCCAACCAAAATCAGGGAAAATCCAGAGCAAATCAAGGTGCCTACAGCCAAATACGTTGAGGTTTCAGTATTGTATTCTCCCATTAGTTTAAAGCCCAACGTAGGGAAAGACAACTTGAAAATTTGAGGTAGGAAATGGGAAGAGAAAAGCCTATTTGACCTAACTCTACCCACTTCACCATTTCTCTTTGCTATTTATCCTTTGGTGTTCCTTTATCTACAGTTGGGTTTCCCCTCCCCCACCTCACATCCCTGCTCTCCAATCTTTCTTCCTCTTTCTCCATTTCACTGGCCTTGACACACCCCCACTCTTCCTTTGCTCCATCTTTAAAAACCCATTACCCATTTTACAATCCCTCCACAGCAATTATAATCCTGCAGCAGCCACGGCTGCCCTGTAGTTATTAGTGCCATCTCCAGCCCTCGTTTGGGCATGCTTTGCTTTCAATTCTTTGTATGCAGTCCTTATTAGTAGTAATGATTATGAGGAGGAACAGTTGCTAGTACTACTCCAACAGGCCGGAGACGTCTTGAACCAGCAAAGCCAGGAGGGAGGACAATGTTTTAATGTTTTAAGACCATGAAACATGAGAGAATAAGCGATGAAAAGAGAGCAGAAAGCAGTCCCTACCTAGCAAGTCATGTTACTCACCATTCTAAATTGTGGATTTCCTCCTTTTCACTTGGGAATGTCCAATTAATTGCCAAGGGGTAGGTTTTCATAGCCAAGGTAAATCAACAAGCATTAATTAAGTGCCTACTATATGACAGGCATTGTATTAAATATTTTCATAAACTGGAAGACTGATTTTGTAAATAAAAAGAGGGTCCTAGGAATGATGTTAAGAGGATAACTTCTTAATCTCATTTTAATCCTTGTTTTTTCATTCTGATCTGAAGATGTAGGTAGGATAAATTTGTCTATCTGTCTTTGAGGTCCTCTGAGGAAATTAAATCCAAGACTTGAATTACAATCAAAGAAAAAAAATTAATTTTTGGTGGGGGAAGAGGAGTAGAATGGATCATAGAAACCTAAGTGTAACTCCTTTGAATTGCCCATGATCTCAATTACAGAAACATTCCTGTCTCAAAACATAGACTGAATAGTATTACGTGCCTATATTTTCTAGATAAAGAAATACATTCATTCATTCACTCACTCAATACAACAAATATTTATAAAGTGATGCATGATAAAATTTCTTTAGTCATTTCATAAGTGTTTTAAGCTATGGTTCCTAACAGTATATAATCTACCAATTTTTGTAGGATGTAATAATTTTCTGTTTTATTACATCTAAATTCATCTACCTAGTTTTCAAGGCCTTCCATAATTTCTTCTACCCAATCTATACAGCCTAGTATTTTCTTAAATGACCTTTAACTCAGGTCAGGAATATAATTTTCTTTGCCTTGCTCATATTATTCCATCTACCCTCTTGGATGTACCACACTACCACTGCCATCTTCTCAAAAGTCTACACATCATCTTCAAAGTTCAAATCAAGTTCCAGCTCTTCCTTGAAGCTTTCCTTTGTCACTCTGTCCTTCCCTGATCTTCCTCTCTTTTGACTTTCTAAAAGCAGTTGGAGTCTATGCTCTGAATTTCAGATGTTATATTTTGTCCTATGTTGGCTCATGTATGTCAGTCTTATTGCTTAGAGTATAATCTTCCTGATGACAGAGGCCAAGTCTTATACTTCCCTCTGTCTCTTTGTGATGAATAAAAAAGTGCTAAGCATTGAACTTTTGCTAAGTACTCATTAAAAAGTTGCTAATGAGTTGCTTGCTTAAATGAACTAGGTACCCCTATTAGCCTTTTTGGTAACTCAAGCCTTAAAATACAAAAGATACTCAGAAGATACAAATTTGCATGAATTAATCTAGGAACCCAAACTCACAAAAATTTTCCAAGTTCTTTTAAAGGCAATACCTTCCTCTGGGAATGGATAGAAATAAGTTGCAGTTTTAAAATCTGTTGGTTCACCCAATAATTTCATCATCATCTCCATCAGTGATTACTTAGGTAATACCTAATGTTAGTCACAATCATCATTTTTAAAAGGTGGACTACTAAAGAAACACTTGAAGTCAACTTATTGCTAGTCAAAATAAACACCTAATCATAATTTAATGTCATTTTCCATAATCACTTTTCTTTCCTGAAAAATAAAAGAAAAATGTGATTTCTCATGCTGACTACAAAGTCAGAAGGGTAAAAAAAGAAACAAACAGCATTTTTTTGAGACAGTCATTTTAGAGGCGATGTGACATAAGCTCACTTTTTAAAATGTTATGAGTGGTGGAATGGGAAAATTATGTATCAAGTTCTTTGTTCTAGACTAAACGCATCTATCATCAACTGCACTGTGAGGCTTTGAGAACAAGTGAAGTGAAAATGGCTAGAAGAATTAAGAACAATTTGTTAAAAGTGCTTGGGAATTTTCAGCACTTTGCTTTGGAAAATGTCCAGTGTTTACTGTAGATTTAATTCTAATTATCCAGGGGCAGATGTTCCATTTTGTAATACATCTCCATTTGGCTGTGGGCTCTCATTAGCATGTCCACCAGAGGGCAAGGGGGAGCCAATGAACCATAAATCTGTCAATCTTGCTGCTCATAAACTGATTTTTTTTTAATGTTGGGCAATGGACAAGATTGAAATGAATGACAAAGTAGAGGTTTGAAGTTTTCATTGACTATAATCTATTCTGTCCATAAGCACTTAGCTCAGTTTTTACTTTCAAACCTCAGTGCAGGGCTAACTCCAAAGTAGAAGTCTGTATCCTATGTTTATTTCTTAGTTATAATTTTCACACATCCTTTCCTGGGAACCATTTCAATATTGGTTGAAAACTTCAGACAGAAAGAAGTCTCCATGCAAATTAGGTAACTTTAGCCAAAAATATTCCTCCAACTTAATTTTGAATCTTCAAGCAGTCTCCTCCTTTGCTTCAACACTCCTCAAAACCCAGTTTGCCATGAACAATTTACTCTGTTACAAAAATTAAGCCTCAGCAATGTACCAGACTCAGAGCATAATGGCGTAGCACCAGCAGAGAATTCATTCCCAATGTGAAGATTGGGTCTGTTCAGTTTTTTTTTCTTTTTTATAGCTCATCTCCATCATCTGTGCTAAAACTACTTCTCCTACTGCTATCTTTGGATACTGTAGGTGAAGTGGCAGATAGCAGAGGATCTGTTCCAAATGGAGATATGGAATCATCCAGTAATATATGATCCAATCTTTGTTCTTCTTTCAAGGCAGCACTAAATGATAAATCAGTAAAGTGTGACAGGGGATAAGAAAAAGACATGGATCCATCACAGAGGTCAGATCTTGATCCCTGAGCCAGAGTCAGTTCTTGGGAATAATCGCCTGATTTATCCTCTGGATAGGTCTGATGATTGGTGGTATGGGCAGCCAAATCAATTGCACTGTGTGAAGAGATGATTGGCAGACCATGTGCCCGAGCCTGTATTTCCAGTTCCTGTAGATTGAAATGACAAATTCAGTAAGTACTTTGAAAGTAAGTGTCACATCGTAATGCTCCCCAGAAAGAGACCCATACGAATAATAGGTATTCATATTGTGAACTGTTATGCTATTAAACATTTTCACTATTAAAAATTGCAATTCTACCCCCCCAAAGGAAAAAAATGATAGAAACCAGTCTATTTCTAACTGAAAGAAAAAGAAAAAATATTCAGCTCCCTTCTTCTCACCAATCCTGTTGTTCCCTGGAAACCTTAGGAACACAAGACAGTCCTATGTTATCACAGCCTCTTGAAGGTTATGGAAAAATCAATGATTTATTTGTATTGAATAACTTCACACAACAGTCCTGGACAATTTTACGTAAAGCTTGCAAGTACTATACTTGGCAATATGCATACCATCTTAAGCAGAAGAAAAAAAAAACCTTGAGGAGTAAGAATTATGAAAATCCATATTCTGGTACCTTGTATCACATGTACAGGTGATGAGTGACTTAATATTACCTGGCACAACATACCCTGAGGCAAAGCAAACCATAGGAATGTTACTAAAGGAAAAAAATAGGGGGAAGAATTTAGTGTCTGATATTATTTTGAGAAATAAAGGTGCTACTTAGTATAAAGTATAATACACACACACACACACAACTGTGTGTGTGTGTGTGTGTGTGTGTGTGTGTGTACATGCGTACACCTTCTGGCTGTAAATATACTGTGTGAATGGGATAGTCACATATTCCCAAAATTTTGTAATTAGTTCTCCAGATATTTATGTGTGTGTGTGTGTGTGTGTGTGTGTGTGTGTGTGTGTGTATTTATTCTCCCTTTTTAAGGTCATCACAATTTTGGATTTCATAACTAAAAACCAACTTAAACAACCTGCTCTATGAATTTGCAAAGGCATTTCAAATTGTCCTTCAGAGAGGAGGGAAAAAAAGGGAATAAAGAAAAAAATAAATGAGGCCAATGAATAAAACCAATGACGCGGGAAAATGGTGCATAAGCTTCGCGGTTCATGGCAACATTCTTATAAAAACCTGAATTCGAAGTAGAAGCTGTCGGTTAACCAGCTCTAATTTCTTCTGCCTGTGTTCTAATTCTCGGGCTCTCTGTTGTTCTTTTTGTAGCCATTTGATGTACTCCACTGATGCTTTTAAAATAGTTCCTTTGTTCCAGCGCATATCACTGCGGAATGTAGAGATAACCTTTTCACAATTGTGCATGTCAGCAGAATTCATAAGAACTTACAAAATCTTTTACATTAATATGAAATAATGATTTACATGACTATTATTCACTCTTAGATATTATTGCTTCTGAATAGAAATTTTAATAGAATAGTTAAGAAGCCCTTATATAGTAAAATTAATCCCTGAATGAAAATAAGTGTCAAAAGAAAGTAATAAAGTGACTTTTTGTGGGAGAGCTAAATGCAATATCATGATTCTACCATTACAGTTTTTATATTTTTAGTGAAAATTGCTTTTATTATTAACTCTGAGATTAAAATCTATGTGCAGTATTTCTGCATTAATGAACTAGGAAATGTACATTACTGAGGACTTAAGCCTAAATTTTTTAAGATCATTTCAAATATACTACTCTTTTTACCTGACTTTCTAATAAGGTTGCTTTTATGCTTGTTAGAAAAAAAATAATAAAAAGGTCCATACCGGTGCTGATCCCTCATTGATTGTGGAACAGGCAAACTGCACAGTTTCTTAATTTACCATTATATCACTAATAAAGCAAAACTTTCTTAAATGATTTAGCAAAACTTTCCTTATGAAATACAGCAAAATGGTTGAAAATGCTAGACGCTTACTTGAAACCAGATATTTAAAAAGGCTAAATGATATAAACACAACAGGCTCAAAATCATGGAATTCTAGAGCAATCAGGAACTATAGATTAGTTTATCCTGTTCATGCCTCTTCTACAAATGAGAAGCCTGGGACCCAGGAAGGTTGTGACTTGTCCAAGGTCAAGTACATTAATTAGTAGAAAGAGTAGCATTAAAACCATGGCCTCCTGATTCCTAGTCCAATTTGCTTTCCACTAAAACACTCTGCTTCTCACTTCCTGTTAATCTTTCAGGTTTGCATGAAAGAAATGTGCATTTTATTAAAACACATATATTTTTATTATAGAAGAAATTCCAAATCTGAAAACATGGAACAGACCATAGATTTTAATTCCTGAGAACATCTATCAATGGAGTCAAAGCCAGATGAGTATTTGCATGTATGCACTAGAAAGTGGGCATACCTTCCGTGTCATATTAAGCAGATCTAGTTAAAAAGTTTACTGAATTTCTAGCTGATAGGCAGTAGGGATTTTTTAATGAAGCATAAGTAAACAAATAACACAGTGATACAATTGGATTTCTTTCAATGCCTGTTTTTTTGAGGCATGCTAGACTTCAATCTCATAGACTATATATGAATAACATTGAAACATAGCTTATAGTCTTCGGGGGTTGAGTGGCAATATGTAGAAAGCATGCCATCTGGCATGCAAATGAATGATTTGTGTGTTATGTGCAGACAACATGTAGCCAATGACTTCAGCTGTTGCACAAAGGAAAATGCTTTTTTTAAAAAAAATCACTGAAAGTGATGTGAAAGTCAGATTGCTCCTAGGATTTCCCTCTTCACAGATGCACTGGGAATGTGTCCTGCATCAGTCATATTATAAAGGTGTGCAAGGAAACTACAATTTCTGTCACTTCCTTTTAGAAGCATAATATCTTTTGGTCTTAACACATTGACCCCTCCCACATTTTTACTTGGTAGTAGAGGTAAGCATCATGGTACAACACAAAAAGGGATAGTGTCAGAGAGGTCCGTGTTGGAATTTTATTCCTGCCACTTGATGCCAGCTGTGTGACCTTGGAGAAATCACTTAACCTTCCCAAGTCTCCTTTTCCTTATTAATAAAATAAGAGCATTGTACTAGATCTCTTCCATCCCTGACTCTGTTATCTTAATAAGGGAATACTGGCCACTTTTATGTTACATAGAGCAGGAACTGTGGTTGAAAAATATGGTAGACGCCAAACCTAAAGATGTAAGTATGAGCAGAGAAGCCACAAGATATTAGCTTTCTTTCCTATGTTAAAAAAAAATCTCCTTTGCTAATTTAGAGGCTTTATGTTATGTGATTTAGATCTAAGTCTTTCAAAATAGCGGCAGGAACTATATAACTATGGATAAGAACTAGAGATAGTTCCTATCTTCAAGTTATTATAGGGTTACCCCTTACAAAATTTCAAAAACATTAACCTTAAAAATGGTTTAATCCTTGACATCTCTTACTTTAAAAAAAAATCCTATAGGGTTTTTCAATCTGTTTAAGCAATTTTCACCTGTCACTTAAGGGAATTTTAAGCAGCTAGTTGGTTGGTCCTTCTTTCTGGAAGAGGACCAAAATGATATAACTATGTTGGGATCAACTGAAGTGTGTCTAACTGTAGTAATCAGACCAATATGAGCTCAGAAGGCTTTACCACAGGTTGGGCACAAATAGTTCATAAGAACGTTTGGAGTGGAGATGTCTCTAAATTTGGGTATCTCATGTTTCTTTTGAGCTACTGTAATTCTGCTAGCAGCTAGTAACTAGTGAGGGGCACCTGATTGCTCTGCAGTACCAAATCTTTTCTAAAATGTTGTCTCAGGATGACCACCCAATCTAGGCATAAATAACTATCCAGGAACATTTTTGAAAAATAAAACGTTCTCCCTTTCCTTCCTGCCTACCCTGCCAGAAGTTAAAGTATTTTATATGATTTATAAGTATGATTTCACTCCTGTTGCTTCTATCTTTCATATAAACCCAAAACTAAAGTCACTTATGAAGATAGCCAAGGGAAAAAAATAAATCAATTTCATGGATTTAAACTAATCAATTTTGTAATGGATAAATTATGGTGATTATCTAGTATCATGAGAAAGATTGAGTGTACTGAATGAGGATTCTTTTTTTCCCCCTTCATTTTGTCATCATTTAAACAACCTGAGAAAACAACAATGGTGGACGGAAATCCCTAAAGATTGAAAAAGACCTTTTTTTTTTTTGTAGAACAGCTCCCACACGACAAGTTTAGGTGGTAGAGATTGTCAAACAGCTTTCTCATCAACAAAAATACTGCTTTGTGGTATGTTTTTCTCCCATGTCATATTTCTCAATCACATGCTTTTCTGCTTATAATTCCATATTTTCTTTCCAATGAATATCACAGATACATTCACATAATTCTGTGGTGCCATGAAACAACATTGCTCTTAGAGTCAAAAGATTTCAGTTCAAGTGTTGGCCCAGGTATTTATTATCTACACGATCAGGAGCAAATCATAATTTCTCTGACCTTTGCTTTCCCTACCTATAAAAGATAATATGTACCCCAAAGAGGCTTAGTGCAAGGAAAGCTGGCTCTAGAGTCCAGAAAACCTAGATTCAATCCTTCCCTCCAACACACACTGCCTTTATGACCCTCCAGAAAATCATTACGCAGCAGGCTTCCCACCTCTGTTGTAGATTATTAGAAGTAGGAGATTTTATTTTTGACCTGATAAAAGTATTACAGTCTGTGTCAGAGACAGGTATCCCAGAATGCATTCTCTGTTAAGTGTGCTTTCAGATCTGCTATGGTGGTGAGAAGACACTGAGGTTCCAAGGTTATTTTTGTGACTTAGTGGAAAGGGAATAGAGGAAAACCAGGAGGTGCTCACCACAACCCTCCACTTGGTAACTTCCTTAAATTTTTTTTTTTGATATTTTATTGATACCTTCTGTTTCCTACATCATCATAGTTATCCCAAGTATCTCTTGCCCTCCCTTCCCTCTAGAAGCAACCCATATAACAAATAGTATTTTTAAGAGAGGAAAAAAATTAGGAAAAGTGATCAATACATTGAAAAAAGTCTGAAAACACATGCAATGTGAACCTTTGGTGGATCTCCCACCTCCAGAAAATGAGTTTGGGATGTTGTCTGATATCTCCTCATTTGATTTCCTACTTGATCTTAATAATTCTGTTACCTTCATTTTTTAATTTTTTTGGTGATAGTTCTTTCTGTTTATGCAGTCTAGGAATAATTACAGATTGCATAGGGGATAGAGCATGAGCTCTAGTCAGGAAGACCCGAGTTCAAATCCAGTCTATGACACTTACTAGCTCTGTGACCACAGGCAAGTCACTTAACCTTTGTTTGCCTCAGTTTTCTCATCTGTGAAATGGAGATAATAATAGCACCCACGTCCTAGGGTTGTTGTGAAGATCAGATGAGATAATAATTGTAAAGTGCCTAGAATAGCACCTGGCACATAATAAGAGCTATATAAATGTTAGCTATGTTATTGTTATTATTATTATCACTGTGTTGTTTTCTTGGCTCTGCTTATTTCATTCTGCATCAGTTCACATAGATCTTTCCATTCTTCTCTGTATTCGTTTACACACATCATTTCTTACCACACAGTAATATTTCATTACATTTACATACCGCAGGCCATTCCCCAGTTGGTGGGCATCTACTTTGTTTCCAATTCTTTGCTATCACTTTGCTTCCTATTTCAACTAATTATTTTTCCTAGGTGCTAAAAAGCCTTCAAGAGTTATCCTTACCCTTTAAATTCAGCACCCTGGAGTCCAGTTACTTTGGCTAAGATATAATTCTGCAACCTGGTCAAAGAGATAGGTTTAAGGACCAGACCTTTAATTTCATTGGTATAAAGAATCTCATGTGAGAAAATTCCTTCTTTGATATATGTCAAAACTGTATTTGTAACTTGTCTTGAGTTTTGCATAAATCACTGACAAGTGGTTCACCCAGGCTTAAACAGCCAGTATGTATCAGGGGCAGAACTTTAACACAACTCTTCCCAGTTCCAAGACTGGCTCTCTATTTTTTATTCATGTTGCCTCTCTAAAGTAAAGGAAATATTTGAGGCTAAAATAGGTAGACTCTTAAAATGCCTGAAGCTAGGCCTACATATTGAGTCTTTAAGGATTACATTGCTATATTTATGATTAGATTTAAAAAAATACCTGCTTGCACACAATGCAACAGAACTAATAAATTGTTTTTCTTCAAAATATTAAAGATACAGACACCCAGGGAATGTTTAAAGTGATGTTCTTTCATTAACATTCTGTTCAGGCATGTATTTCTACATTAAATTTACTTTTCATATTACACAAAATGAGTTTGAACCATCATTAATAGGGCCCCTCACTTTATCATACTACTGTCCTTTCTGTCCATAGGTAAATCTATTTTAAATTCAGCCTAGTCTTTCCATCATGTAGCTTTGTATTTCTCCTACTTTTTCTATTTCTTTTTTTTGCTTCTTCTGAGTTTTCAATTATAAAATAAAAGTCAGGCATATGTAGAGGTTATAAGGTGTATGGCACAGTAGAAAGGGGACCTGAATTAGAATCTACTGTAACCCTGGACAAATCACTTATTGTCTCTGGGGCCTCAGTTTCCTCATCTTGACTGGGAAGTTTGACTAGATGACCTCTAAAAGTTTTTTTTCCAAATTTAAATACTGTAACCGTGTTCCATGTTCTTCTTTCAGCTCACTGATATTAATTTTTAAAGTTTTCTATTTTTTTATCTTTTTTTTTTTTTGGTGAGGCAGTTGGGGTTAAGTGACTTGCCCAGGGTCACACAGCTAGTAAGTGTTATGTGTCTGAGGCCATATTTGAACTCAGGTCCTCCAGACTGCAGGGCTGGTGCTCTATCCACTACGCCACCTAGCTGCCCCTGAAGTTTTCATTAATTCTAGTGGTAATGGATTATACACATTCTTTATTAGTGCAATTAGATTCAATACACATTTATTAAAGACAGATAATTATACTAGATGTGGGGACAAAAAAATACGAAAAATTTCACAATTCCTACACTCAAGAAACTCATTCAAGGGTAAGGAAGGGGTATATGACACAAAAGCAGATAAATACAATTTAACATAGAATTTGATGGGAGGATGGAGAGATCCAGACAAAGTTTTCTTTAAAAAAATATTCAAGGAGGCAGAGGTTACTTTTAGCTTGGATTAGGGGAGACTTAATGGGAGAGGGGTCATCTAAGCAGACCTCAAAGGAAGAGAAGGATTTCAATAAGTGAATTGGTAGATCTTAAGTCTTTACACTCTTTACATGTTGACAGTGGTAAAATGCATCCATTCTTTTATGCTTTTCATCCAACAATAGCATGCACCAAACTCATTTATATAACGCTTTCAAAGGTTTTGCATTGATAGCTTCCCAAGACTAGACATGTAAGTGCAACACAATAAGCTGAAAAGTAAAGACTGTGTTCAATAAACAAGCTGCTTGGGTTGCAGAGTACCAAATGCTCAGCTTCACTGAGGTTCTGTCTATATAATCCTACAAAACTTTAAAAACTCATTATTTGACCTATAGGAGTTAAACTTACATAAATAATAACTTTTCTCCCTCCTATAGCTCCAGATCTTTGAGACAACTAGACAGTTCAAGTTCATTCCAAATGGCCCAACAATATTATGTGTTGATCTACAGAATCACTATCAAACAGGTTAAATCAGTCCATCTTCCAAATGAACTTTGATCTTCCTACTGCGATTGACAATATGATACCAGATATAGAAATTCACTAAGACCTAGAAGGAAACAACCTACTCATTTCCTATAGCTTTATAAAACAACTCTCAGTGATGACATTGACCATTAGCAGCTGTCATCCTGGAATGGATTTTTAAAAATGGGTTTCTGTAATATCCTTATCTTTTCCTTGAGCCACCTAGTTTCCTAGTCATTGGTTCTTCCATTTCCACTCCCAGTATTGAAACCGTAGACATTATTATAGAAATGATTGTTGAACTCACGGATCATTAGACTTTGGAATAAGAGTGCCAAGCTCCTTGATTCGGTAATTAATATTGTACCTTCTTCTTCTTTCAACTATTAGAAAAGAAACATTATTGATTATTCTCATTAAAGCACAGTGCAATTATGACTAGATGTAAACTTTTTTGAAGACTTCTGAAAAACAGTAGGCAAAGATTATAATTTAATCATAAAGAGTTATAGACAAAAGAAAAAAAAAAGGATGTAATTGTTCTAGGACCAGAAAGATCCTGATACTGCATTATTTTAAGATTCCTCAAAGTGAATTTTTCCATTCTTTTTTGTGTAGTCTACCGCCCACATTAGTTTTGACTTTGTGTGTATATATAAATGGCTATATACACATATAAATATATAAGAAGTTTATGATGGGCTTGAGAAGGCAGCAACACTGTAAGGAATAACAAATGACAAACAGAACTGTTTTCCAAAAATATGTGAACAAAAAAGAAAATAGACTAGTCATGTGATGAGAGTGATAGATAATCATCAACCAACCTGTGTGCTCCACTGATGTATTCACTAAATTAAAAGAAAGTGAGGAAGGACCCTAAAACATTGGGCTGATAGCCCATAACAACTTAGACATGGAAGTGGACAAGAGTTGAACAGCATGGGCTACCACTTATATAACTGGATAAACTACCCTCCTAGATGAGCTCACAGATCTATTTGAGTATTGATTGTGTGACTTGATGCATATATTGATACCAACTAGACTATAAACCCCTAGAGAAGCAGGGACCACCTCTACCATTGCTTTCATGGTCTTCACGATAACTAGAAAAGTGCTAGTTGCATAATAGGGGTATGCTAACTACTTATTATTTCAAAGTGTTATGTTTTTCTATTATTATAATGACTTTTAGATAACTTGCATTATAAGGTTCAACTTTAATTTATAACTTTCCAAAATGTGACGAAGCACTTTAAATAGACTAAGTTCTTCAAATAAAAACTTTCTTTGGTATGGATTTTGTCTTCTTCTGGTTTCATAGTCTCTCATAGCGACTAGTGTAATACAGTATATACAATAAGTGCTTAATAACCACTATGTGAATAAATGGACTTTTCCCATACTAACCAATCCTGGCCACTGATCATTCTTGATTTCAAGCAAATTATTTCATATCACTTATAGACTTGAGCTTCTTAAGAAAGGAATAGGATGGTATATTGTGGAAATTATGCTAGATTTGAAGTCAGAGGACTTTGGTTCAAATCATGCCTCTGCCCCCTTACTACATTGGGACTCTGGGAAAGTCACTTATACTTTTATGATATTGGTTTTCTCAAATTAAAAAATAGGGGGTTATACTAAATGATTCCTTTCTTCTTTAAATCTGTGATCTTAAATAGGGGGTGAAGAAACCTAAACAAAGGAAAGGGAAGGATGTGTCAAATCTGCCAAAGCTGATCAAGACAATGTTGTAGAATTACTTCGATCTGTTCTTGAGGACACTAGGATAATGCAAACCTGTAAGAACATCAGCTACCTTAGTGAGCACACTCTCCAAAGCAAATCATGGTTAAAGGATTTCATCTTTAGAAATACCCTACAAAATGTCTCTGAAAGTAGAACATAATTGATCCTCAACTCAATGATGTTTCTTTTTGTACCACTGTTTTTCTGATGGATATAATTTTTTAAAATTTTTTTTAGGCAATTTGGGGTTAAGTGACTTGCCCAGGTCACACAGCTAGTAAGTGTTAAGTGTTTGGTCTGAGTCCGTATTTGAAGGTCCTCCTGACTTCAGGGCCGGTGCTCTATCCACTGCCACCTAGCTGCCCCTTCTGATGGATATAACTTAAAGAAAGGTTAAGTACGACCACTTGAAAATTTTGAGAGAAAAAAAAATTAAAGATAAGCCCGAATAACAAAAGAAAATCATTTCACAGTGTATCTTAACTAATAACTATTAGGATATCCAAACACTCCCCGCATATATGAAATAAATCCAAAAAATAAGTTTCAGTTCTGGGTAAAAAGGCTTTTTCCTACATCTAAAATAGTAGGATAGATTACTCTCCTGGGGTCCCTTCATAATCTCGTTGTATATGAAATCCCCATATACAAAATGTCATCAATTATTAGAATGTGCTCTGTAAAATTATTCATCTGTTAGAAAGGGAAATCTAGTTCCCAGTGTTATCCATGTATGTCTTTAAAGTTGAATGATGAATGTTAGGAAATGTATTATAATTTTAGTAATATGTGAAAAGTATATATGTTTTCAATGTTCAAAATAATTTGTTTAACTCGTTATGTTGTAAAAATATGTTCTAGAGCACACAGTAGATAGAGCTCCAGCCTTGGAATCAGGAGGACCTGAGTTCAAATCCAGCCCCAGACACTTGACAATCACTAGTTGTGTGACCAAGGGCAAGTCACTTAACCCTGATTGTCTCACAAAAAAGCCAACCAACCAACCAAACAAACAAACCAAAAAACCCCCTAATCTCATGGGGCAGCTAGGTGGTGCAGTGGATAGAGCTCCAGCCTTGGAGTCAAGAGAACCAGAGTTCAAATCCAGCCTCAAGACAGTTGACACTTACTAGCTGTGTGACCCTGGGCAAGTCACTTAACCTCAATTGCCTCACCAAAAAGCAAAAAATCTATATATCTATATCTATATGTATATATACACACATACACATATACTATATACATACATACACACACACACATACATACTATATCTACTCCAGTGGCTGAAAACAGAGCACCAAGGGTTCCAGCTAAAACTCTTAAGAATTAGATACCAATATTGTTCTAAGTTAAATGACTTTTTTTTAATATCTAAGCTGCCGAGATTGAAGAAAGCTAGGAGGAGTTATTGGTAGCCTACCTAATTAAGGATCTAGAGGCAAGTGTAATAATAAGAGAACCAAGTACCTCCCAAATTAAGTCCTTTCCAATGGGTGAAAAGTAATCTAATGGAGGTGGTTCAACAACATGTGGTGAGCTTTGATTTCAATTAGCAGTTGAATCAAATGGAGAACAGATGCAGAGATGAATCTTCCTTTGTTCATACTAAGGGTAATTAGAGCCATTTCTTAAAGAGATAAGTATAATACTTTAGTTCATAGTTTGAGTAATAGGCAGTAGTACATCCAGGAGAACTATCCAACATTAGAGCCTCAATGTTTCAAGAGCACCTGTGCCTGTAACTAATGGCTACTGGGGCTTTGCCTGAGAATGAGCCATTCTATAAAAGCTCCAGATACATCAGTGGGGCTATAAGTTTCAATATGATTTCTGAGTGATTGTAATTTGGGCAGGCTGAGTCTATGAAGGGTTCAAAAGCCCCTTCTGAAATCTCTTTCTACTCTGAGTTTCTGTGAATCTGCAAATGGCCATGACAGTATATAAACTACAGAGAAGGGGGAGGGAAGGTAAGACCAGAGTCAAGAGAGTTCAGATTTTAATTGAATATACTGAACTGAGCCATAAGCTGCCATTCTTCACTCTAATGCCAAGACTGCAATATGTCACCATTACATTCAAATTGGAAACATGTTTTGTCCCCATAAAAATTCAAGCATATGACCTTCAAAGAAATAGAATAATTACTCTAACTTAGAAATAGCCCTACAATTATTATAATCCTACCCACTAAATGGGAGTTGGCTTGGGCCATTTACTTAAACAGTTACTTTTTAAAGACTCTTGAGTAAGTCAATGAATATTGAGCACATAGTCAGCTGGCTTAATAGCAATTTCTATTTCCTCCTAGTTTCTTTCCTCCTATTTAACGCCACTGAGTACTTTACTCCTGGTCAATATGAAATAATATCCTTCATCATAGCCTTGGTACAACAATGAAGTCAATGCAGTCCATAGTGCTGTTCTCATGCAACCCACCTCCAATTCCCTTCTAACTATCATTAGCACCATTTAGCAACTCGGTTTCTAAGTTCCAACTCTTTCTCTCTCCTCCTTGAGTTTCTCTCTTCTATCTACTACTAGGAGCTAGACAGCTGGCATTTGAAGTTTGCAAATCACTTTACATGTATTCTCATTTGATAAGCTGTGCATCAGCCAAGCAAAATGCATCTGAGAAAAGTTCTAATGTCAACAACCAGCCTTTTCTCATAATCTTAGGACTTTCTAAACTTGCCCGACAACAAAATTTTTTCTTAAAAAAAAAAAGATTTTTATTGATGTCTTTTTTTAATATTACAATAGTTTCCCCATATTCTGCACTCTATCTAGAGAGCCATCCCATATAAACAGTATTTTTAAAGCCTAAGAAAATAAAAAAGGAAAAGCCAGCATGACTGAACAACATATTTAAAAAGTCCAAGAATATGTGCAACATGCAACACTTATGGACATTCTATCCCTGCAAAAAAAGTGAGTTGGGGGCATCTTCTCATATGTCTTGTTTAGAACCATGCTTGTTCTTTATAATTTTGCAACATCTTTGTTTCTGTGTTTTGTTCTGAGTTTGCGTATGTGTGTATGACTGTTCTTTTCAATTACATTGTTCTAGTTACTGTGTATAATTCTTGCTCTGCTTCAGTCCATGTAGATCTTTCCATGCTTCTCCCTATTCATCACATTAATCATTTTTTACCCCATAGTAACAATATTCCATTACATTCATGCACTATAATTTGTTGCCATTTAATTCTTTGGTATCATAAAAAGTGCAGCTATAACTATTTTGGTGTAGAAGACTTTCCTCTTGTCAATGAGTTCTTTGGAGTATATCCTCAGGGATGGAACCTCTGCGTGAAAGGGTATGGGCATTTCAGTCACTTTATTGCATAATTAAAAATTGCTTTCCAAAGTGATTGCACCAATTCATCACTTTACCAATAATATACTAGTATTCCTATTTCTCTACAACACTTCCAACATTGACTATTGCCATCTTTTGTTTATTTTTGCCAATTATAAGAATATGAAGTGAAACTCAAGGTTGCTTCGATTTGCATTTCTTCTATTGTTAATATTTTGGAATATTCTTTCATGTGGTTGTGAATAGTTTTCAGTTCTCTCCTTTGACCACATAACTACAGGGGAACAGCTTTTGGTTAGATCTGTATTTATTTGCATGTTCTTCTAGCCTATTTCTTTTCTTTGGATTCATTAGTGCTGGGCTCTGTGCATGCCTGGGGTATGTCTGGCCTGAGCTTCCTTTTATATCCTTCTGCTACTTCCAGTGCTACCAAAGTGATGTGATCCAAGGTTGAGGTCTGCTCACAGTCCTCGTGGTCTGAGCTCTGCAAGTTCCTGACCCAGGTTTCTGTCTGTTGCCTTGTCCCTGGATGAGGGATTTAATAGACAACTCCACCGCTAATAACCCCAGAGGCTCTGCAGGTTCAGATGGACTGAAGCGCAGACTCTGCTTTGGCATGGGACTACTGTCCTGATTTATGCTGGGCTGGAGGCTAACATTGAGTCTCTGCTCTCCTCTTGGAAACAGAGCCACATAGCTCCCTCTTGCTTCTAAAGCTTGTTCCTTGCCCAGTATACAGCTGGAGTCCATGCATGTCATTACTCTTGTCCCCCTTAGATCTGTGACCCAGAACTGGGTAGTGGGTGACAGCTACCAGATGGCCCCCATTCCTGTACCCTCTGCTAGTTTAGGAATCCCTGAGATCTTTCTGCCCCAGTGCTTCCTACTCTGGTGCTCAATCTCTGTCCTTTTTCAGTCCCTGGACATTGTAATGCTACTTACTGGAAGCACCTCTAAATAAATTCTCTCCCCAGTATCCTAAGATCTCTTCATCCATCTCCCTAAGCTGCCCTGGTCTGGATAAATAATTCACAGTGACTAATTCTGTCTGGTGTGTTTTTATGGAGGAAATATGGTGAGAAGCTAGGCTCCTTTTTTTTTCCCTACATCTTGGATACTTAGCCCTTACCACAGAAATCTGACACAAAGATTATTCTTTTATCCTAAGTGAGTTAAATTTCTGTAGTAGCTTTTCAGTTTCATATAATTAAGTTATTCATTTTATCTTTGTATTTGCCTCTGCCCCTTGTTTGGTTAAGAATACATCTGCTATCCATGGCTGTGAATTATCTGCTTCTCTTATAAGTTTTTAAAAGTACTATAATAATATTATGGTCACTTATCCATTTAGGATATGTTGTAGAATATAGTATTGGTCTTCTGTAAGGTATTTTTCATAGTTTTCCCAGCAATGTTTATCAAATAGGAAGATCTTTCCTAAGTTATTTTTTTCCACTTTACCAAAAACCGGTTCTTATTGAATACTATTGTTTCTGATTCTCTCTTGTCTAGTCTGTTCCACTGAGCTACTTTTGACTTTTTAACCTATACCAACTAGTTTTGATACTAGTAATATGATTTGAAGCCTGAAAGTGCCATTTTTCCTTTGTCTTTACCTCTCTTCATCATTACCCTTAATATTCTAGATCTTTTGTTTTTCTAAACTAATTGTCATTATTTTATCAAGTTTTATAAATTATCCCACTGATAATTTGATTGGTATAGCATTAAAAGCATAAATTAACTTTGGCAGTTTTGTCATTTTTATTGTATTGGCACTGCCCAACCATGAGCACCAAATATTGCTCCAGTTACGTGAAAGTTGTTCTTTATTTCATTTCTTTATGGAATATGCTGATCACCCCTTAGACATGCAATCCTGGCAACTGTGGTCAAAAGATAATTTCTTCTATTGAGGAAGGCTTCTCATCTACAAACATTGCAGAGACATGTGGTCTATGCATAGACACCATTCTACATATGACACCCTTACTTTTTTCTCATTTCATTGCATTTGGTTGCTTGGACAATAAGGCCTCATATTCATTTAGTCAAGCTCACTTGAGAACTTAAGTACATTGTACTCCTGTTTTGTGTTACAAAAAGCAACACCCTTTTTTTTAAAAAAAACTCTTGTTTTCTCAATTTAGCTATTTATTAGATGATACAATTGACTAATATGCATTCATCTGAGCTAATTTGCAAGGATTACACTGGGTGGGACTTTGGTATCTTCAGTATTGTCAGAGGAAGCAAGAACAGAAGGAGACTCTGTTCTTATTTCTCTTACTTTAAAAGATTGCAAATTTTCCAAAGACAGTTTTATTTGGTACAAACCTTTGAATCAGTGAGCCACAACACAAGATGTATACTCTTTGACCAACAAATGATAAAGAAAGGAAAGCAGGATTTTTCAGTATATGAAAAGGTCTTGGTATTCATTCTAAGTATCACATTTAATAAAATTCAGACATGTTCTGTACAAAGCTGCTACAACGTACATTATTTCACAATAATTTCATTAATGTTTTAGAACCAAACACTTGCAAATTCACGAAACTTTGCTGCAATATTTTGTCTACTCTTCCACTTACAGTAAGTCTTCTCCCTTCTACCCCTCCTTTCATGGAATAATAGCTTCATGTAATGTAATTTTAGCTAACATTGTGTTTCTATTCACCCAATTAGCGATGTTAGGCAGAATATACCAATATACTTAAAAAAAATTTTTTTCTCAATTTCATGTAAAAATAATTAACTTTTTTTAATGTTGAAGAATTGTTTTGACATGTAATTAAGAAAAAATAAAAATTTTAAAAGTATATAGGTATATTATGCCTAATATCATTAATTGGATCAATAAAAAGACAATGAAATTTTGAGTTTCAAAATTTCTCTCTCCCTCCCTGACCATACAATTAATTAATGTTCAGTTAATATGAAGAACTTCACAGAAGAGTCTTAGAAAGGCAGTGTATTATTTTAGTTGCAACATATTCCTTTCTTTCTAGTTATTTTAATTTAAAAAAAATAAGTATACTCACTGAGATTGTGATTGTCCTTTTTTTGCCTCTCTTTTGCCAGAGCCCGGGTATCTGTTTCTGACCAAAAGCAATATTATTAAAATAGACTTTGATTCTACCTAAGTTTGGATAGCTTTACTTGACATATATAGCAATATCAAAAGAATAAAATTAAGTGGAAGGATGTTTACTTAGATAACACCACTAATCATGCATTTTTCATCTAAATATTTGCAAATTTGAAACTGTTCTAGCAAGTCAGAATTGTAATTCATAGAATCTCACAGGGGGTCAGAAGACCAATCACCAACAGGGGGGTACCCTTTCCCCCTTGCCTTCATAGATATTATATAATTACTATTATTACCTAAATTTTTCAAATAAATTTAGATTCCTCTATCTCCTTGAGTTAAATTTTATTTGATTTTCAAGATCCTGTTCTTGAAACATTCATTATATCCTCTCTAGTAAATAACACTCTCCTAGCATTCTTTAGATCAGTATAACTTCTTTTAAAAAAAATAATGGTATTAATACAATATTTTCACATTTTCTTTGAATGGGCTTATCAAAAGAGGGGTGTGTGTGTGTGTGTGTGTGTGTGTGTGTGTGTACAGAGAAAGAGAGGGAGAGAGACCTAATTCATTATATGAGGCAGGATTTGTCTATTTATGGCATTAGGATCTAAAGTGGGAAAAATTGGCGTGCCCTAAAGAATTAAGTGTATTTCTAATGTAAGTAGTCTTGAAGATCATTTTGAGTCACCAAACTAAGATCAGTGCAACCATTTCATTCTAACTGCATTTTGCTCTTGTACATCAACTAGGTCAGGAAATGTGGGTCCTGGCTCTGAGTATAACCAGATTTAGGAAAATCTCTTAAGTTCTGTGGGTGCATTTCTTCCTATGTATAGTGTAATAATAGAAGAGATGGACACTAAGTTATTTCCTAGCTCTATGAATTAGAAGCGATTCTGACTTCAGTCTCACTCTTTGTGTTTTTGGTATAATAGCAAAATGCAAATGAAAGCAGCTCCACTTGGAAAGCGGAAAAACATCAACTCATTTGCTCATGATACTAAATAATCATTTTACCTAATCATTTTACCAATTTAATTTATTGTTTTTAATCTAATATTATTTTGCTATAGCATTTGAAAATGGAGAACTTCTGTCAGATTATTTTAGGTGACAATAAGATTATCCAGTGCCCAAACAACCAGTAGCTCAGCCTGGATGATTGATCAACTTATTATTCAGTGAAAAACCTGTGTTGTGAGAAAAGGGAAAAAATACATTGAGTTTTCCCTACTTCAACTGGCTGTGTCAATAGTGTGAACAAACACATATCACATATGGTTTCAGCAAACATATTATCAAAACTTGGCCCATTGCTATTTTTAATAGAATATAAAAATAGCATTGCTATATTACCTGGGGTTTCCCTTTTCACAGGCAGACTTGGACAGGAAGCATTAGTAAGTCCCATGTTAACTGGTGAAATCCCCTGGTCACCATTGTACACATCCAAGATGCTTCCAGATAACTTTGTGAGGAAGGTGAAGAACAGAAAGGTTTTAAAAAATCAGAACAGATTAATGAAATCATCACCACCACCACCACCCCACTGCTGCAGTTTTAACAAATTTTCCATTTATTAAATTTTGGTAAATCTTCATCAGATAGTGATAACATAGAGATATTTGGAAGGATAAGACATACCGCAAGAGAATGGGTGCTTGTGGAAACAGAATTCTTGAATATTTTTAAATATTATGAGAGTTTTGATCTATTCCATAGCCTAGCTAAAAGTAGGAACACTTAGGAATCATAGCTTAGGAGAAATGAATAGCCCATGAAGAGAGATGGAAACTTCATTGCAAGTTAAAACTAAGGAAGACCTTCCGGGAGAATTTCTTTAAATACTATTGTATTAAAGTATAAAAGTATTTTATTAAATAGAATTTCTTAACTATTAAATATTTAAAATACTAACTTAAATACTAAATAAATACTATTAAGCATCTCATGTTCAAAAGGAATATCACATAATAAAATTAAATGCAACTTATCTTCTTTTATGAAAGGATTATTTTTCTTGCTATAAATATTGCAGCTGCGTATAAACTTTAGGCTAACATCTTTCCTACTAATAAATGTATGGTTCATCTAAATAGAGCAATACTGTGTTATTTAAGGTACTTCCAAAAGAATGATTCTGTGGAATGCCATTTCTTATGCTCAATTTGAAATAGCCACCAAGGCAGTATTAGAAAATCTGTTTGTGTATTTGAACTCCCAAGAAAATTAATTTCAAAACATGCTTAGAATTTGTTCTGATTATTACTGAAGAAAAAGGAAGAATCTGAAAGTTAACCACATTTCCACCTGAAATAGATGTCACTTTAGATAGCAGACCAAGAACTGGACATAGCAAGCTTTCCACATTCTTCAAGAACCTTGGTATGGTCTCTTTCCTTGACTCATCTATACTCCACAGCTATCCACCCATATCTCTTCATCCTTGCACTCCTAAAATCCAAGAAAGGGGCATCTCTTTCCAATTCCAAACTGCAGAGGTACCACCAGTCCTGATTTGTGTTATTAAAGTCCTTGCAAGCTGATTTCTGAACCCACTGCTTAACTGATACTGTTCTCTCAGAGGTTACCAGTGAGCCCTTAAGAGCTAGATCTCACATCCTTTTTCAAAACTCATCCTCATTGCCCTCTCTGAAGTTCTGAACAATCCTTCCTCCTGAATCCTCCCATCATAGGAGTAGAAGATTGCAGATTAAGAGCATTACAAACCACCTCCTCTTCCCTGGCCATCTCACATGTTCTCCCTCCTTCACCTGTCTCATAAAATCTCTAACTTCTGACAAGATACTCAGGCTCACCTTTGATATGATCCCCACAAGAGCTGGCACCCTCCCTGCCTAACCTACCATGGATTTATCTTGAGAGTATCAAGGAGTCTGCCTCACATCCCTGCTATTTCCATAGCATATCTTCTGTATTCCAACCAACATCTTCACCTTCTCCCCACCAGACTCTGCCCCCAGAACCACTCCGGGCTCTGATTGGTATCCTTTTTTTGCTTATTCTAGCCTAACGTAGGCATCCATATCACTTTGAGGCCATTTTCATTCCATGCTACTGGTTGTTCCTACCTCCTCCCCTGCTTTAGAGATCCTCTCTCTATATAGTTCCTCCCTCTGCCTCCATTAGAACATATGTTCCCAGAGGCCAGAGACTTTATTTTTTGAGGCAATGGGGGTTAAGTGACTTGCCCAGAGTCACACAACTAGTTAGTAAGTGTCTGAGGCCAGATTTTAACTCAGGTCCTCCTGACTCCAGGGCTGGTACTCTATCCACCATGTCACCTAGCTGCCCCCAAGACTATCTTTCTTGCTTGAGTTTTCAGCCCTAGTACTTAGCATAGTTCCTAGCAAATAGAAAATATTTTAAAAATGCTTGCTTCATCATACTATTTTGTATTTTTTTCAGGGGGTAGGGAGGAGTGGGGTGTATACTTAGATATGCATATTATCTCCCCCATACACATGTAAGTTCCTTGAAAGCAAGGACTGTTTCATTTCTGTTTTTGTATAACTTGTGCCCATCACAATACCTGGCACATAGTAATACTTCCTAAATGCTTGATAGTTATTGATTGGAGTTGAAAGGAACTTGAGTGAGTTGTCCAGTCAGTGTCATACAGGTTGTAAGGGGCAGAGCTAGAATTTGATCCCAGATTCTCAGATTCCAAATCTAGTGCCCTTTCCAATGATCCATGTTACTTGGTTTCTATGGAAAAGCTCTTCCAAGTCTTCTATTTCTTCCATGATCTTGTCACTTGTCAATGCTTTGTCATTCACCTCCTGCCCCTCCCTTGTCCCCATGAGTATATGCCCAAGAATCTGACCATAGTCCTTCTCCCTTGTCTACATTCTCTCCTTTGGTGATCTTATCCAGTTTCATAGTTTTAATGATTACCTCTACATAGTTGACTCCCAAGTCTTCATATCTAGACCCTATCTCTCTCCTTAATCCTCTCTCTGAAAATTCTCTTCTACCTCACATATTCTACACCCTCAACTACATACTCAGCATCTTTGGATGTCCAAAGGCCTCTCAAACTCAAAGTGTTCAAAGACCAACTCATGATCTTCCAGTCACCCAGGCTCAAAACCTGGATCATCTTTGGCTCTTCCATATGCTTCTTCCCCCACATCCAACTGGTCATCATGTCCCACTGATATTCCCTTTCTCTACATGCCTTGTGTCTATCTCCTTTTCCCCACTCACATTACCACCCTTCAAACTTTCATTTCATCTTGCCTAGACTATTGGAATACCCTCCTGATTGGTCTCATCTCCAAGCGCATCCTCTACACAGCTACCAAAATAATCTTCCAAAGAGACATGTCTGACCACATCACTCTTCCATTCAAAACCTCCAAATGGCACCCTTTTACCTCTAGGATAGAATACAAAATTCTTAGCTTGGCATTTAAGGCACTTCATAATTGGACTGCAACATACCTTTACCATCTTATTTCATGAATTCTACATTCCAGCCTAACCTGGTGGCTAGCTATTTCCTAACCTCGATATATTGACTCCTCTCTCTAAGCATTTGCTTTCCCTTTAATGGAATACATATGATAGAAAAGTACTTTCTTCTCATTTCTACATTTTAGAATCCCTTTATCCCTTCTTGGCTCATATCAACTGCTTTTTTCTCCATATATCCTTCCCAAATTCCCTAAGCAAAAAGCCTCTTTTATATCATGTATTTCTAGAGCAACTTGCCTGGATTTCTCTTTTATTCCCAACCACTCTCCACTTGTTATTTTACTTAACTCTGTCTGTATCATATTCCTCCCACACAGTTACCAACGTAGTAGAATTTACTCTCCCCTTACGAATAGACCATGCCCCACTTTAATCTTTCCATTCCTATCACTTAACACACTGCCATCTACATGGTAGGTATTTAATAAATTTTTGTTCATTTGAATCATGAAGGTGATTCTCCATTTTCAAAGTTTTATAGTAATAGAAGTAGCACATTATAGTCAATAGAGAGCTCACTTTGGAACCACGAATATCTGGGTTCAAATCCCATTTCTGTCACAGAGGTAGCTAGGTGGTGCAGTGGATAGAGCACCAGACTTGGAGTCAGGAAGACCTGAGTTCCAATCCAACCTCAGTCACTTATTAGCTGTGTCACCTTGGGCAAGTCACTCAACATTTGTTTGCCTCAGTTCCCTCAACTCTGTAATGGGGATAAAAGGGATGAAACCTAGCTCACCAGGTTATTGTGAGGATAACATTAGATATTTGTAAAGTGCTCAGCACAGTACCTACCATAGCATAGTAGGTGCTATATAAATGCTTACTTCCTTTCCTTCCCCTCCCTCCTTTTGACACATAGTGCCTTTATGGTCCTGCACAAATCCTTTCACTGCATAGGACCCTAGAACTAACTCTCCCAGTTGCTGAGAAGATAGTGGTTTGCACTGGTAGATGGAGTTTCCTTACCTGAGAATTGCCTATATCAATAAAATTAAAGGTCCAATCCCCTTAATAACAGACAAATATGAAGATAAAGAAACCATGGTGTAGAGGATAGAGAGCTAGCCTTTGAGCCAGGAAGACCTGAATTCAAGTCCTACTGTGATACCTACTGGGTGTCTATGCAAGTCACTTCACTTTGCAGGTGCTAAGACTATATGTTACATAGCATGTACCAACCCAAGTTAGAAGAGGGAGTTTCCCAACCGGAAATGTATTGTACAAAGCACAGGTCTAGTCATGCAGAGGTGGGGAACCTGCAGCCTCGAGGCCACATGTGGCCTTCTAGAACCTCAAGTGCAGCTCCTGGTTAGAAAATGAAGGACAAACAGCAGCAGCAGTGTCTATCCCAGTAAATTTGTAAAATACTTTACATGTTATGTCATTTAATCTTCACAATAACCTGGTGATATAGGTGCGATTATTATCCTCATCCTACAGATGAGGAAACTGAGGCACAGGTTAAATGACTTGCCCAGATTCATACAGCTAGTAAGCAACTGAGGCAGAATTTGAACTCTTCTCCTTGACTCCAAGGGAAGTGCTCTAGCCACATAGGTGCCTTTATATTTTCTGGGTTCGAGCTCTACCAAGCTCTTACAGACTTGAAAAGGCTTCAATTATGGATCTGGTAAAAGACATTATGCCTGTCATCTGAGGTCCAATGCTTGAAGAGACTCATCACCATAAGGGCATTCACTAAGTAATGACTTTTCCACTATAACAACCCATGAAAACCACCACCTAAGTCACAGAGGGATTGTGATAGAAATCAGTGTGGGGAATACCTACTGTGATACAGACACAAATCTGAAATATTCAAGCTGAAGTCATGAGTATGTCTCTGTCTTCAATCTGTTGCAAAGTTCCCATAGTCAAGTTTTAGGTTTCTTTATGTAATCTTATCTCTTTTTTTCCACAACCCATATTTCATTTCGATAAAGATACAGACTTTTTAAGACATCA